CTCCCCTTAATACATTTCCACGAAAAACATACGGAATCTTCCAAATTTTATTATTCTGATAAAAAGAAACAAACTGAGGAATGTTGTAAAAAGAGTGAGATCAGTGTAAGAAACTCAGAAAGTGGCAAAGCTGATGCTATGGTTATATATATGTGTGTTTCACCGAACCCGAGACAAAACATATCTGTAAACTGTCAATGCAGTTCACCGACAGGAGCTTCGTTGAGCCAGAGGAAGTGGATGAAGTCATACAACTTGGCGCTGACACTAACCTGTAGAAAGGTGTACATAAACAGTTAGGTTTTGACACGCGCTAGCTTTTGATACAAACAGAGGAAGTGAATTCTCAGGTTGTTTTGTTGGATTGTTATACCTTATAAGGAGTAGGATTTAATCTTCTCATATGATCGCGTCGCATGTTTTCGAGCTGTTTGATGCAACGGTTTCTTATCTCTTTCAATGGCTCTAGTTCTTCCCTAGCTTTATCTTCATGACACAAGAAGTAAACATAATCAGTCATAAGCATTTGTCAGAAATATTCTCTTTTTAAGTATTGAGAACTCTGTTATAACCTGCATTTCCGCGCCAATAACATTTCAGAAGCTCTTCGACGCGTTGTGGTACCACAAAAGCTCTTTTCGATTCATTGAACGGATGACGGCAAAGTAACCTTTCACCAACCTTAAATCCAGAAAATATTAAAAGACTAAGAAAAGCTCGATTGAAGAAAGCTAATGCCTTTTTATTTACCTTTGGTGGTGGTTCGTTCTCTCCAGTCATTATATCAACCAGAGGGTAACCCTCTTTTCCGAATAATCTGTAAGTACGTTTTTTACATGGTATCGATACCTGAAGACACGAAATAGAAGCGTGTACGAGGTTTCTATCAAGAAGAACTCAAAGTTTGAAACAACAATTTTCAAAATGGATAAATGTGTCCAGACTCCAAACCTTAGTAACATCTTCGGAAAGTTTGATCCGAGGCTGATTATTTATCTCCACGAGTTTGAAAACACAACCTAGCGCAGCTTGCGCATAGCAAGTCACTAAGTTGGTTCCAATTCCAAATGCATCTACCTCATGACCCTTTTTAAGAGGAAAGTTACATATCAAAGTGAGGCTTAAGGGAAAATTTTGTCATAAGGTTTAAGCTGAGATTTACCTGTTTATTCAAAGCATCCACTGTCTCTTCATTTAGATCGTTACTAGCAGTAATGATCATCTTCCCGAAATCAGGCACGTTAAGTTCTCTCTCTATGGCGCAAAAGAATTTCCTGGCCTCAGTAGAAAGATATGCTAAGTCCCCTGAATCCAGTCTAATGCCTACTGCTTTGAATCTGCATAATAACACAAAGTCATGAATCTTCCAAAATCGCACTGTCGAATTTGAAGACAAACTACCATTAATGGAAGATTTCTTACACACCCGAGTTCATTAAGTGCTAGAGCAACAGCACAGAAGTTAGGAATTCCGCTCTTCATCACCTGTAAAGCGGTTAAAGAAAGTATGTTTTTGTAACTCCGTAAGAGAAATGTTATGTAGACGAGAGGTAAGAAAAAAAAAATGATATTTTTACTCACATCGTAAGTATCTACAAGAGCAAGAAAGGCGCTGGGGAAAGCCAGTGCGTAGGATGTGAACGCTGCAAGCTCACTTTTATTTGTCTCCGAAAAAATCCCGCATAATGAAGATGAGTTCTGTAATCCATATAAAGAAATGAATCGAAACAGAAAACTATTTCACTGAGCCAAAATTTAGATTCACTTACGCAAACCTGAATCTTGGTTAGGCATGTTTGAACCAAACTAACAAAATCTTCACAAGTGCTTTTTCCATCAGAACTTCGAAGCGCTTTGTCAACAATCTCATCAAAGCTCTGTAAAAAAAAAACAATGTAAAGGATAGATCTTTACACTACTGCTTCAAACATTCCAGAAACTTTGTCGATATTAGAGCTACATAAATCCAACTATTCCAAACTTTCTCCGATTCTCAATCAATCATGTTACTCTAACTGCATATAGGCACAAGTATTTAATCACGGAAATCTGCATATAAGAGAAATTTTTAGTTTTTACTTACCATGAATGAGCTAACAAAAGCATGAGAATGTGTACCACGGAGCGGTATTCCAAACAGTTTTCCCGCTGCAACATTGCTGCCATAAGAACAAAGCAAGAAAATCATATTTCGTCTCTTCCCTATAGATGTTTCGATAAACAAAACCAAATCACTAATAAGACATGCCTTGTTGCATCAAAACCTCCAAGGTAGCAATATTTTGATGCGCTTATTGCACCATCCGGTCCCTAAATAACAATATATCAAGACATGAAACAAACAAAACCACACAACATCTAAAACTCTAAATATAAACAGACTTTACAAAAACCTGAGCTCGTCGAGCACCAAACTCAAGCAGAAGCTTAGATTTTCCGGCGACAAACCGATGCCTTGCTGCATTTGTAGCAACAAGAGACGCGTAATTGACAAGATTGAGAAACGGAGTTTCCAACAATTGCACAACCTAAGCAAGCACAAGAACTCATAAATCATTCCAATCACTCAAGGGAAGGCAAATGAGAGAGTAAAGAGATAATAAACAAACTCACAGCAACAGGACCTTCGATTCTAAGTAAAGGCACTTTAGGAAAAACAACTGATCCTTCCGCAATAGCATAAACTTCAATGTCAGAACAATCAAGTCCTCGAAGATAATCACAGAAAGCTTCCTGCTTTATGCAAAAACCATGAAAAAATGATTCCTTTAAAGAAAATTGGCAAAAAAAAAGAGATTTTTATTTACCTCACAACCAGGCAACGAATCACGAACGAAATCGATTTCTTCATCAGTCAAATTGAAATTAGCCAAGAATTTGATGCATTCTTCTAACCCAGCAAAGATTGTGTACTCTCCACCAAATGGGTTCTTACGAAAATACAAATCAAACCTGAGAATCGAAACAAAGACAAAAAAAAAGATGAAATTTTTGAGATTCTTGTGGATCAAAGCATCGAAATTTTAGAGAGACTAACACGGATCGTTCGGATTGTTTGCCAGCTTTCCAATAAGCATAAGCCATGGTGAATTGGTAAAGATCGTTGAGAAGAGGTGTGACCATCGGGTTTGTGGGTTTATCAACGACCCGACCCGGTTGCTTCTTCCCATCAAGACCGTTCTCTTTCGACTCCATTAAGTTAAACCCTGTTTTTCTCGTTAGGACTCTGTATTGTGTTTTTGAAGGAGGATGGAGAAGAGTGGTCACTGATTCTCATTCTAATTCTGTAACCAAAAAACGAGACGAGCTTTTAGAGTGACGACAAACTTATGTCAACTCTAGTCGACTTCAAAACCAAATTTTCTGATGAAAATCCAAAACAGGGACAATTATAAATTGAGATATATTTATGTTTTCTTTGCACAAATCATATTTTAAAGAATTCTAGAGAAATAACACATATGATAACACTATAGTTGTAAAAAAAATGTATATAAGTGAAA